AAAAGAATGAAAAAGAATTAAAATTTAAGCATTAACGTACATGTATAGCGTTATTAAGTTAAACACATATATTGTATGCATTAATGTGAAATGGATTTTTTTTAATGTTGCATGAATTAATCAAAATGCTTTCTTACAACTCTACAAAATAAGCTTACATATAGAAATCTTTATTTTAAGAACATTATTACTCTTTCATATGGAAATTAACTTACTTGTCTCATATTTTGACGTTTTGGTCCGTATTTGGTAAACCCTTCTTTAATTGTCTCAGCTTTTTTTATCCACCCTGACAATGTATTTTTCGGCACATCGAACATTTTAGCGATTTCAGTTTTTGATTTCTGACCCTTTTAAAAACTCAATAATAGCGTTGTACTTGATCTCTAATGGTTTTTGGTCTAATTTTCTTTTAGTGCCTTGTTTTCCTGTAGCCGACAAAGCTATCCCCCCGTTTCCGGGTCCTTCACTTTGTTTATTTATAGTTGTTTTCTCTGACATACTGTTTTGAGATATGAGAATGATACTAAATCGAAACCACTTTATACAAGCTAAAGAACTTGGGCACATTTCACTCATTTCTTTTAATTTCATTATTTAATATTAATATGCATTTTGTTTGCATCTTGATTAAAGACGGTCGGTAAACAAAACAAACAAATCGATGAGCGAATATCACCTGTCATTTTGTATAATTCAACCTTAATTGCCTTTATCACAAGGTGTTAAAAACACGAGACGCCAACCGTCACTAATAAGCGGGTCGTTCACAGCTTTTGAAATTTTTTTGTGTTCGACTGAAAAGGTGTGATTTTCACTATATTTCTATTGGAGGGACCGAACAACCTGTTGGAGAGTTCGAGCGATCAGTGTTCAAGCGATCCGAGGTAGAACAATATATGTTATATAGGGAATTTGCCGGGACCGGACGATGAGTTCGAGCGAAGGGAGGTGTTCGAGCGATCCGAGTTCGAGCGAACGAAGTTTAACTGTATTGCACAGCAATGCTGTGTGGAAGCTTGTAAACACCCATTTTCCGTTTTTGACTTTGGAATTAACCAATTAGAATTGATAAAATCCATGATTACAGGCAATGATCACAATATGTTCATTTCGATTAAACGGTAAAAAATATCGTAAACGTTTACGAATGAAAATCGAAACAAATCTGTTTAAACGTGTAACCGTGGGGGCCTTACATATAATGCAATTTAGTTGGTGTTTAGTAAAGTTTGTCATGTCTTATTTTTTTGTGTTTCATGTCTGACAAAAAGAGTTTTAAGAATTATAAACAAGCACATGTAGGTCTTAATCAAGCTTCTGTTTTCATATTGTAAACACATCTAAAAGGTCATACATTTACACAAATTTAGAGGATTGGTCATTTTTTTAAAAAGTTGTGTATTAAATAAATAAAACAAGAGGGCCATGATGGCCCTGGATCGCTCACCTGACACAACCGCATCTAAGCAATGTCTTAAACAAACATCATGACCAAGTTTGATGACAACCGAGTCAAACATGTGACCTCTAGTGTGTTATAAAGATTTTTCCATATTTGGGCAATGTGACCTAATTTTTGACCGGACACAACCCATATTCAAACTTGACCTAGAAATCATCAAAACAACCTTCCTGACCAATTTCCAGGAAATTTGGATCAAAACTGCAGCCACTAGAGTGTTAAAAAGATTTAGCTCCTGTGACCTAGTTTTTGATCGGACATGACCAATCTTAGCACTTGACCCAGAAAGCATCAAAACAACATTCTTGACAAATTTCCAGAATATTTGAATCAAAACTGCAGCCACTAGAGTGTAAACAAGCTTTTTCTATTTTTAGCTCCTGTGACCTAGTTTTTGACCTGAGATGACCCATCTTCGGACTTAACCCAGAAATCATCAAAACAACCTCCCTGACAAATTTCCAGAATATTTGAATCAATACTGCAGCCACTAGAGTGTTAACAAGCTTTTTCTATTTTTAGCTCCTGTGACCTAGTTTTTGACCGGAGATAACCCATCTACGAACTTGACCTAGAAATCATCAAAACAACCTTCCTGACAAATTTCCAGAATATTTGGATGAAAACTGCAGCCCCTAATGTGTTAACAAGCTTTTCTATTTTTAGCTCCTGTGACCTAGTTTTTGACCGGAGATGACCCATCTTTGAACTTGACTTAGATATCATCAAAACAACCTTCTTGAAAAATTTCCAGAATATTTAAATGAAAACTGCAGCCATTAGAGTGTTAACAAGCTTTTTCTATTTTTAGCTCCTGTGACCTAGTTTTTGACCTGAGATGACCCATCTTCGAACTTGACCTAGAAATCATCAAAACAACCTTTGTGACAAATTTCCAGAATGTTTGGATGAAAACTGCAACCATTAGAGTGTTAACAAGCTTTTTCTATTTTTAGCTCCTGTGACCTAGTTTTTGACCAGACATGACCCATCTTCAAACTTGACCTAGAAATCATTAAAACAACCTTCCTGACAAATTTCCAAAATATTTGGATGAAAACTGCAGCCACTAGAGTGTTAACAAGCTTTTTCTATTTTTAGCTCCTGTGACCTAGTTTTTGACCCGAGATAACCCATCTTCGAACTCGATCTGTATTTCATTGAGACAAACATTCTGACAAAGTTTGATGATGATCCAATCAAAACTGTGACTGCTAGACTGTTAACAACACAATTGTTGACGACGCACGACGACGGACATAGCCCCATCACTATACCTCACCTTGACCACTTCGTGGTCAGGTGAGCTAAAAATAGAAGATACTTAATAGCTCATATTGCCGACATGTTCTACCCTTATCTATAATTTGTCAATATTCCAAGCAAAGTCAATTGCCAAGTGAATTTTCTTTAACATGCCTTCAAAAATTATTGGCTAGAACGATCACTATATTTCTTTGGCATGATTAACACAGTAAGGACTATTTTTTGCATATTTTTATCTATATTTGTTAATTTCTATTGATTTTAAGTGCAGTTTGCAGTGTGTATATTACTTTGTTTGTTCACTTCACAATATTCAACTTTCAAATACCTTTTCTGGGGGCATGCTGCTTCCAAAGCAACAAAATCTACAATTTCCAATATTTTTGGTAAAACATGTATATATCTGCATATTGAAATAAATGTATTTAGATCTATTACAAAACAAATTATTATCATATCTTAATATTAAAACAAGAGGGCCATGATGGCCCTAGATCACTCACATGACTTATCAAACTCATCCAAACAATTACCTAGACAAACATTCTGACCAAGTCTCATGACAGGTGAGTCAAAAATGTGACCACTACAGTGTTAACAAGGATTATCCATATTTGAGCAGTGCAACCTAGTTTTTTACCCAGGTGACACATATTCAAACTTCACCTAGAAATCATCAAAACAAACTTTCAGACCAATTTCCAGGATACTTGGATCAAAACAGTAGCAACTAGAGTGTTAACAAGATTTTTCTATTTTTAGCTCCGGTGACCTAGTTTCACATGCGATTTCGAACTCATCCAAGCAATTACCTAGACAAGCATCCTGACCAAGTTTGATGATAATTGAGTCGAAAATGTGACCACTAGAATGTTAACAAGGTTTTTCCATATTTGGGCGGTGTGACCTAGTTTTTCATCCAAGATGACCCATGTTCGATCTTGACTTAGAAATCATCAAAACAAACTTTCAGACCAATTAACAGAATATTTGGATCACAACAGTAGCCACTAGAGTGTTAACAAGATTTTTCTATTTTTAGCTCCTGTGACCTAGTTTTTCATCCGAGATGTCCCATGTTTGATTTATTCCCAGCAATGACCTAGACAAGTTTCCTGACCAAGTTTGATGACAATTGAGTCAAAATTGTGACCACAAGAGTGTTAACAAGGTTTTTCTATTTTTAGCTCCTGTGACCTAGTTTTTCATCCGAGATGACCCATGTTCAAACTCATCCAAGCTATCACCTAGACAAACATCTTGACCAAGTTTGATGATGACTGATGCAAAAATGTGACCGCTAGAGTGTTAACAATGTTTTTCTATTTTTAGCTCCGGTGACCTACTTTTTGATCCGAGATGACCCATGTTCGAACTCATCCGAGCTATCACCTAGACAAACATCTTGACCAAGTTTGATGATGACTGATGCAAAAATCTGACCGCTAGAGTGTTAACAAGGTTTTTCTATTTTTAGCTCCGGTGACCTACTTTTTCATCCGAGATGACCCATGTTCGAACTCATCCAAGCTATCAACTAGATAAGCATCCTGACCAAGTTTGATGATGATTGATGCAAAAATGTGACCGCTAGAGTGTTAACAAGGTTTTTCTATTTATAGCTCCGGTGACCTAGTTTTTCATCCGAGATGACCCATATTTGAACTCATCCGAGCTATTATCTAAACAAGCATCCTGACAAAGTTTGATGATGATTGGGTCAAAAATGTGACCACTAGAGTGTTCACAAGGTTTTTCTATTTTTAGCTCCTGTGACCTAGTTTTTCATCAGAGATGACCCATGTTCAAACTCATCCAAGCAATTGACTAGACAAGCATTCTGACCAAGTTTGATGATGATTGGTTCAAAAATGTGACCACTAGAGTGTTCACAAGGTTTTTCTATTTATAGCTCCTGTGACCTACTTTTTCATCCGAGATGACCCATGTTCGAACTCATCCGAGCTATCACCTAGACAAACATCCTGACCAAGTTTGATGATGATTGGGTCAAAAATGTGACCTCTAGAGTGTTCACAAGGTTTTTCTATTTTTAGCTCTTGTGACCTAGTTTTTCATCCGAGATGAGCCATGTTCGAACTCATCCGAGCTTTCAACTAGATAAGCATCCTGACCAAGTTTGATGATGATTGAGGCAAAAATGCGACCGCTAGAGTGTTCACAAGCAATTGTGGACGGACGACAGACATTCACCGATCCTAAAAGCTCACCCTGAGCAAGCTCAGGTGAGCTAAAAAGTAATACAAACTTTTCCACTTTTTGGTATTGACCTCTTCATAATTCTAGCAACATTTGCAATAGGTAAAAATCTGTCCTGTAAACATGATAAATAATATATCATAATATAATATATACACAAATAACTATTTAAATATTTCTGATGTGACAATCTTTAAAACCTTTTAAAATAAGTTATTCCAGAAGAATACTTGTTGAACTTATCTAAAACCTATTACATCCGTGTATAATGAAATACAAATAACTACTGTTTGACTCAGTCATTTCAGTAATATTTTCTTTCTTAAGAAACACATATTTCCTTTTTTGGCTGCTATATTTCTCATGGATTGGCAAGTAAGAAAAGAAATAATAGTCTAACATAAAAGTAAGTAGTCTACCTGCTCTCTTAGTGGTTCATTGTCTTTTGGCATATCATCATTGTCCCCTGAATCTATCTGTTCCTCACCTTCCTGACCTATAACACAAGTAACAGATTAATACACACCTGTAGAGAGCTGTATAACACAAGTAACATATTAATACACAACTCTAGAGAGCTGTATAACACAAGTAGAGAGCTGTATAACACAAGTAACAGATTAACACACACCTGTAGAGAGCTGTATAACACAAGAAACAGATTAATACACACCTGTAGAAAGCTGTATAACACAAGTAACAGATTAATACACACCTGAAAAGAGCTGTATAACACAAGAAACAGATTAATACACAACTGAGGTTTATAAGCCTAAAAACATAAAATTTTATTTTTTTTACATAGATCAACGTGAGCACTTAAAACCAGGGCTCATCCGGAAGGGCGATTCATGCGAAAACTTTGCCGTGTATATTTCCATTTCGCTCTCCCGATTGATCAAAGAGAAGTCAACATCGCCGATAAAATCTTATTTCCCAAAGAGTAATTACTTGGCGATGTAAAGAGCAGATTGTATCCGCCCATATCACGACTGCTAATTATCATTATCCAATCAGAGCGTCGCTTTATACTACCCTTCTACCTGTATGCAAAGCGATAAATCAGTAAATAATGAGAGCATCGGCCCGAAACGGGTATAATTGTGTGACAGTTTTGCGAGTTAAATACAGGATTAGGCGATAATTATAGATTGTTTTTTCCCGATCATCTAAACATGTGCAAATCTTCCCTAATTGATATACACACCGTGTTAAACCCGAGTAAAGGCGATGTGCAATGGGTTTTTCACGGCTATCACAAAACTGTTAGTCAATTAAAAATATCAAATAAAAATTCTTGTTCACGACACACCATACATCTATGGTTATTTCATATACAAATGAAAAATTACAATCCTTCCATGCATACTGAAGTTTCAGAGCCGACATTACCACCACCGTCTATATCTATATAACATAAAAAATGACAAAGTTTGAACCCCAGCAGTGCACTTGACCTTAGTCGTAGAAACCCCAGTCTTGATTGCAACACACCATACATCTATGGTTAATTAATATGAGAAAGAAAAATTACAATCCTTTTATGAATACCGAAGTTTCAGAGAGAACACAACCACCACCTTCTATATTTTTATAACATAAAAAATGACAAAGTTTGAACCCCCACAGTGACCTTGACCTAACTCATAGAAATCTAAGTCTTGTTCGCGACACACCATATATCTATGGTTATTTCATATGTAAAAGAAAACTAAAATCCTTTCATGCATACCGAAGTTTCAGAGAGGACACAACCACCACCTTCTATATTTTTATAACATAAACAAGGAACATCGCAATGCGATGCAACCAGGTTTTCAGCAAAATATTTCACAGAAGCTTTGTCATGAAGGGGCATTTGTTTTTAATTGAACTTTTAGGAGGAATTATGGCTTTTTTAATATTCCTCAAACAAAAATGATTGAGAAATTTTATGTTGTCTATTCGCCTTTTTTTCCCAAATATTTTAGAAAGGTAAACAGTACTTTATTTTTGCTTAATTTTTGCATTTTTGCGTCTCTTGTCATTTTCTTTTGTCAACAATATTGGCGTGTGGTGTTTTGTGCGATATCAAGAAAAGTATGTTCACAATTTTAAAAAAATACTTGAATGATGTCTTGGAAGAAACATGGGAATTTAGTGAGCGCCAGGGCACTTGATGACAAAGCTTCTGTGAAAGTTTGGTCAAAATCCATTGAGAAATGTAGGAGAAGTTGCGCACTGTCGAAATTGTTCACTATATATTCTGTATAAGGAAAAAATATACAAAGGACCATAATTCGGTTAAATATTATCCAATCACAAAACCCCGACAATATGTGCCAGGCACTTGATAACAAAGCTTCTAAGAAAGTTTGGTCAAAATCCGTTGAGAAATGTAGGAGGAGTTGAGCACAGAAGAAATTGTTCTCTATATATTCTGTATAAGGAAAAAATATACAAAGGGCCATAATTCGGTTAAATATTATCCAATCACAAAACCCCGACAATATGTGCCAGGCACTTGATAACAAAGCTTCTAAGAAAGTTTGGTCAAAATCCGTTGAGAAATGTAGGAGGAGTTGCGCACAGAAGAAATTGTTCACTATATATTCTATATAAGGAAAAAAAACAAAGGGCCATAATTAGGTCAAATATATACCAATTGCAAAACCCTGGCAATATGTGACAGGGCACTTGATGACAAAGCTTCTGAGAAAGTTTGGTCAAAATCCGTTGAGAAATGTAGGAGGAGTTGCGCACAGAAGAAATTGTTCACTATATATTTTATATAAGGAAAAAAAACAAAGGGCCATAATTAGGTCAAATATTATCTAATCGCAAAACCCCGACAATATGCGCCAGGGCACTTGATGACAAAGCTTCTGTGAAAGTTTGGTCAAAATCCATTCAGAAATGTAGGAGGAGTTGCGCACAGAAGAAATTGTTTACGCCCGTCCGCCCGCCCATCCGCCCGCCCGCCGACATACCTCAATCTAATAACCAGTTTTTTCCTTCAGAAAACCTGGTTAAAAATGACAAAGTTTGAACCCCCACAGCGACCTTGACTTAACTCGTAGAAATCTAAGTCTCGTTCGCGATACACCATATATCTATGGTTATTTCATATGTAAAAGAAAATTAAAATCCTTTCATGCATACTGAAGTTTCAGAGCGGACACAACCACCACCTTCTATTTTATATAACATAAAAAATGACAAAGTTTGAACCCATTTATGTAATATAAAAAATGACAAAGTTTTAACCTCCACAGTGACCTTGACCTTGGTGGTAGAAACCAGAGTCTTGTTCCCGACACACCATACAGCTATGGTTACTTCATATGTGAAAGAAAAATTACAATCCTTCCATGCATACTGAAGTTTCAGAGCGACACGACCACTACCTTCTATTTTATATAACATAAAAAATGACAAAGTTTGAACCCCCACAGTGACCTTGACCTTAGTCGTAGGACCCTGAGTCTTGTTTGCGACACACCACACATCTATGGTTATTTCATATATGAAAGAAAAATTAAAATCCTTTTGTGCATACTGACGTTTCAGAGCGGACACGACCACCACTGTCTACACTGAAAGACTTTTCTAACGCAACACTTTTTTAATTCGTATTTCACAAAAACACTTCAAGATATCTTACTTATATTTTACCAGAACCGGTTTGACTACCTTTTGCAAATATTTTCAAAGAAATCATTCATTCATGACGGATTATCGGTTCCGCACGTTCTATAGGTATGAAATCAACTTTTTGCACAAGGAAAACGATTTTGGCAAACCTTTTCGATTTTATTTCAATATAACTATAGTATTGAGTCAGCAACATTGAAAAATCATAGATATCCGGTAAAACATTAAATGGTTCGCATGCAATTACAAGAGCGCGCACGCGCAATCGGCATGCTTCAGGCAGGTCATTCAGCCAGACAGGTAAGTTTGTGATATATTTTTAAATACTAACAATGCCAAGTTAATACTGCTTTATTTATGATATTTCTGATATGATACATAATTTGCTCAAAACTTAATATTTACTTTCCTATAATTAGAAGGAAAAAAAACATCACTCTTGTTTGTTTATTTTCAGGTGGCGCGAGTTTTTGGCAGAAATGTGTCTGTCATAGCCAGACTTCTGTTAAAGTACCAACGCACCGGTCGAGTTGAGGACGAGCGGCGGCAGCCTCGTGGAAGGGTCACAACACCTGTACAAGATGCCCAGATTATTGCAAGTAATCTTCAAAACCGATTTAAGACCGCCGAATCGACTGCATTAACAACAGTTGGTACACATGGCAGACACATTAGTAGCAAGACCGTTATCAGGCGTCTCCGCGACCGGAACATTCGAGCAAGACGACCATATCGTGGCCTTGTCCTGACTGCACGTCATCGTCAACAAAGGGAACAGTGGGCCCGCCGGCATCACCGCATGACACGTGCAGAGTGGGTAAATGTCCTCTTCACGGATGAAAGCCGCTTTAATTTGTTCTATAGTGATGGTCGGGTTCGAGTTTACCGACGAGGAGGGGAACGGTTGAACGACGCCTGCATCATTCAACATGACCGGTACGGCGGTGGTTCCGTAATGGTTTGGGCTGGTGTGTCCCTACATACCAAGACCGACTTGATCATCATTCGAGGAAATCTGACTGCTGTAAAATATCAACAGGACGTTCTTATTTCTGTCACTATTCCTCATCTTCAAGCTGGTGGACGGGGTATGATACTTATGCACGACGGCGCACCGGCACACACAGCACATACCACCCGGAACCTACTACAACAGCAAAACATTCAGCAGCTACCATGGCCGTCCAAGTCTCCAGATTTGAATGTTATTGAACACCTGTGGGATGAGTTGAATAGGCGTGTGCGCAGGCGAGCGGTACAACCCATGAACCTACCAGAGCTGGAACAGGCCCTGGTGCAGGAATGGAGGAACATTCCACAGCGATTTCTGAGGAATTATGTAATGTCCATGAGACAGAGGTGTATGAAAGTGATACAAGCTCAGGGAGGACATATTGGATATTAACTGATTAATATTATATTTTACTCATTCTGTGATAAGAGCTGTGATAAAACAATCATTTCACATGGTTGTGTTGTGAATTTTGCGATTTATTCTCTGTTACTCATGTTTCATTTCTGTTAAATTTTATACTTTTCCATTCATCGACTACAATAAACTTTTTACAATACATGTGTGAAGTGTTCATTAATCTATACTCTTAATTTCACGAATAACCATTCTTTTATAATCCAAAATACACTAAAAAGCACAAGTGTTGCGTAAGAAAAGTCTTTCAGTGTATATGTATAAAGCGGGACGGACGGACTGACGGACAGTTTGATTTTAATATGCCACCCTTTGGGGGCGTAAAAAAAGTCAAGCTAAAAAACTGTGAAAAACAAACAAGAACTCTGCTTGGCATTGTAGACTGAAATGTGTTTCGTCATATAAGACTATATCAACAAACGGACCTAAGCCCGCTACAGTGATGTTACATGCCAAATATCTAAGCATAAGTCTCACATGTGTTTTTCCTTAATAAGTCTATATAAATCGATTGACCCCTGGCCCGAGCCAATATTGAACCAATGGGCATGATTTATATCAGTTTTGAAAAAATTCAATAAGGCAATAATGCATGCCAAATATCTAAGCTCTAGACTTGTAGTTTCATACAAAGAAACTAAAATGCATTTTCCTGTAAAAGTCTATACATATTTAAATCGAGATATCCCTGGGGCTGGACCAACTTTGATCTAAGGAAGTTCGCACCTGTGTTAAGCACATCATCTGATTATGCTTAATTATACTAATAATTCTGCCAAAAAGTATCAATTTCTTGTAATTGATTCAAAAGATACAGAGCAGAAACGGAATTCTGAAATTGATACAATAATGACTAAGTGTGACCTTGACCTTAAGAAGGCCAAACATGCCCTCTGCATATCATCGTTAAAATTCTGCCCAGAAATTTCAATTTCCTTCCATTTGTTCAAACAGTACAGACAGGACACAAAACCTGAAACAAGTGCATAACATTATTCGCCAAATCTAATAATTCATATAATAGTTCTTTTTCTATGTTTTATACTGTGAAGAAATTGGATAAGCACCAAGAATTTATGGATTTACACTGCTTCAGTTCCAAGGAACATTTTGCCCTGTAAATTGAGTTCAAAACTGTAATATTGTAACAAGGAAAACAGACTCCTTACCTTCTATTTGGCCACCAGCAGCCTGGAAGAAGGTTTCTCCCATACTGTTTTCACTGTGTCCATCACCACCACCATCCATCATAGACGCACACACTTCTGAAGTACACTAAATGAAATTTATGGTACCATCAAAACTGATATTAAAATTTTAATGCAGTACAAGGAAAATCACCCTTCAGTTACCAACTCAAGAAACGTTTCAGCCTATTGATTTAATTTGATTAGGAGCCCTCTCAAAGAAATTGACGGCATGAAATACACAAACATAATAAAATATAGGAGTTATTAGTGACAGTGATTTACTCCTATAACATGTCTTTGACTGCAACTCAAAATCCTTGACTGAGAAAATACAAGAAAGGCCATGATGACCCTGAAAAGCTCACCAGGGGATATGGTCTACATAAACAAGATTTAATCACCTGGGTACATGCCAAATATCTCAGCTTAGACCTTTAAGTTTTAAAAGGAGTTAACTTCAACTTTTAAGTTTTAGGAAGTGGCTAGCTGTACAGGCCCATACGGCTAGCCAATAGTTCTAGCCGTATGTGAGTCACATACTACTAGCCAGGACACACTGTATTGCACTTTTCAGAATTATATGAAAGTCAAAATGCATATGTTCTTTTGTGACTTTTAACGAGGATTTTACCCAAGTAACTGCATTTGTCCTTGTGTGTTCACTTTAATGAAGATGCTCCCTCATTTTGTAAATAAACAAGAGCCACTGCCGAGCAGGGGCAACGCTCGACTTTTTACTTTTTCTAAAAGCAAACAAAGAAGCGTTTGAACAAATCTTAACATTTCCTTTTTATAATTTGAATAGGTCTGTCTTGTCACACTTGTTTTGTCAAAGTATTAATCCTTTCAATAAATAAATGGCAATGTTAAGAAAATATTATCTAAATTTAGAAGAAAAAAAATATACGCATATGTATCAAAGAAAAAAAGAGGAAAAAAAACAATAATTTAACCTTCAAGGTCAAGGTCATAAAAGGGCTAAGGTCAATTTGAGTTTGATATTCATGAAGGTCTTGTCCTTAAGAATGTTTTGTTTTAATATAAAGTCAATCTATTCAATAATAGCAAAGTTACAGCCATACTAAATTAAGATACAGCAAAAAAAGTGAAAATTTCAATAACTTGAATAAATGAAGGTCAAGGTCTGTCTGCTTTATTTAAAGGGTTCTCCTTGAAGATTATTATATTCAATTTTGAAGACAATCCATTCCAAAATAACAAAGTAATAGCCAATAATAGCAAGAACAAGCAAAATTTGGACATTTGACCTTGAAGGTCAATGTCATTTATGGATGAAGGTCTAGATTTGCCTGGTCTACTGAAAGGTCTTGTCCCAAGGGTTGTTGTGGCAGTCTGCGAAATTAGCAGTTGTCCTATTGCCTGAGACACACATTTTTTGGTCCGGACAACCAATTTTTAAAAGTTTACTTGCCTGACAGACAAGTAAAAATTTGCAGAAAGTATTCATCAAAATGTCAACAAATAGTGATAAAATGCAAGATAGCAATTCATATCAAATAAAATTATTTTGCTTACATTTATGACTGTTTCTCACTGGAGATAAGTTCGCAAATTTGATCAATAATTGCTTGGAGATATTCTGATGTAAATATACAGGCAACCAGTTTTTACTTCGGACAACCAGATTTCCCGAATGACAACAATTTTTAAAACCTAATTTCATTGACTGTTGTGGCCAAGTATGAAGACAATACACCAAGAACTTAAAAAGTTATGATCCAGGTTCAAGTTTGGGGACGCCAGGCAACGCCGCCAGGACTATAAACAAAACCTCTACTCTTTTTTTTTTTTTTTTAAAAAGTTGAGCTAAAATTGAATACGAAGGTAATGCAAGTGTTAATATTTTGATAAAAGTATCAATATTGCATGACGCATTATACAAAGTACATTGTGTTTGGAGTTAAGTTTTAGGAAGTGGCTAGCCCTACAGGCCCAAAAAGCCAAAAGTTCTAGCCATACTCAAGACACATTTTATGTCCATAAATGGGTATTTTAACCAAGAACCCGTATTTGTCAATGTATATGTTTTGCCATTTTTTTAAAAAAATCGATGGAAATACAAGTGTTGTCATCTTGATAAAAGTGTCAAAGTTACATGACGCATAACTATTCAAAGTACATCCATTGTATAGTGTATGCAAAGTTATCTTTATGATTAAATGATAAATATTTTAAGTTATAATGTCGTTTTTTATGCTTATTATTTTTATGCTTATTATTTGTTGTTTTATTTGTACAGGGTCTTTCTTCTATTTGAAAGACCCTGATTTGTATGAAAGACGAATTATTTGTTCATTTATTTATCAATTAAGCACATGGAAATCATATACCGTAACAATTAAATTAAATTAAAAATGCGTTTCACGGAACATGCAAACTTTCCTTACTGGTGGACAAACTTCTACTGTTAGTAACTGACGCAATTATTAGAGTCCCAACAATATATTTTCGTTCCTGTTTTTCATTTTAAAGGTGTTGAGAATTAAACTTCTTGAAACTAGAAATGTGTCATCATGCCACGGATGCCCCCGCATGCAGCCAAAATTTCAGATGGTGCATTAATTATTTTTTTCATTTTAAGCTCAAAGCCCTTAAAACTTTTCAATGTTAACACAAACCATTTTCATACAATGTTCAAGGCACTGAAATTATTCAGTCTTAACATTTTAAAAATAGCATATTGCATATTTATAGCCAAAATAATGGCTAAAAGTATGAGTGCTGAAACTGAAAGTTCAAAATTTTTCCAACATTCAGGAAAGATAAGTTTGTCTAAAATCATTGAACCACGACCAAATTCAAACTTAAACTGCTTATTCCTAAGATGTATCTATATTATTTTCAAAGTGAAAGGGACATAACTCTGCCAAAAAATCATCAAACCATGACAAAATTCCAATTTGACCTGCCCATTCCTTTGACATATCCAAATGTCAAATTTAAGTTGAATATGTAACACTGTTGGGTAGATAATGAACAGAAACTGTAAATTTCATATTATTTTCAAAGTGAAAGGGGCATTACTCTGCCAAAAATCATTGAACCATGACCAAATTCGAACTTGGCCTGGGCATTCCAAAAACATATTATACATATGTCAAATTTGAGTTAAATGTGTTGTACCATTGGGGAGATAATAAATGGAAACTGAAAATTTCATATTACTTTCAAAGTAAAAGGGGCATAACTCTGCCAAAAATCAATGAACCATGACCAAATTTGAACTTGACCTGCGCATTCCTTTGACACATCCATATGTCAAGTTTGAGTTGAATGTGTTGTACCTTTGGGGAGATAATGAACGGAAACTGAAAATTTCATATTGTTTTCAAAGTAAAAGGGGCATAACTCTGCCAAAAATCATCGAACCATGACCAAATTCAAACTTAACCTGTATTTTCTCATGACATATCCATATGTCAAGTTTGAGTTGAATGTGTTGTACCTTTGGGGAGATAATGAACGGAAACTGAAAATTTCATATTATTTTCAAAGTAAAAGGGGCATTACTCTGCCAAAAATCATAGAACCATGACCAAATTCGAACTTGACCTGTATTTTCTCATGACATATCCATATGTCAAGTTTGAGTTGAATGTGTTGTACCGTTGGGGAGATAATGAACGGAAACTGAAAATTTCATACTATTTTCAAAGTAAAAGGGGCATAACTCTGCCAAAAATCATCAAACCATGACCAAATTCGAACTTGACCTGTATTTTCTCATGACATATCCATATGTCAAGTTTGAGTTGAATGTGTTGTACCGTTGGGGAGATAATGAACGGAAACTGAAATTTCATATTATTTCCAAAGTAAAAGGGGCGTAACTCTGCCAAAAATCATCGAACTTGACCTGTATTTTCTCATGACATATCCATATGTCAAGTTTGAGTTGAATGTGTTGTAACGTTGGGGAGATAATGAACGGAAACTGAAAATTTCATATTATTTTCAAAGTAAAAGGGGCATAACTCTGCCAAAAATCATCGAAATGACCAAATTCGAACATGACCTGTATTTTCTCATGACATATCCATATGTCAAATTTGAGTTGAATGTGTGCAACCGTTCTTAAGATAATGAACGGAAACTGATGATGACGGAATGACAGAATGACGGAATGACGGAAGGACGGAATAGGGTAACACTATATGCCCCGGCCATTACATGGCGGGGGCATAACAAAAAGGATCATTATAATAATTATGTACAAGATTTCAATTGATGTTAATCAACTGCAACTAAACGCTCTTTGATGATGTTTTGATTGAACAGTTATTACAAATAATAATATAACTTTATCATATTTATATGCACAATACAAAACAAGAGGGCCATGATGGCCCTGAGGTCGCTCACCTGTATATAGCCCCCCACCCCCCGGCCCAATTTTTACCCAAGGACTTTTATTTGTTTATTTGAACAGACTTGGTAGACACCCATAGGAAGTTGTTTCATGCAAAACATCTAAGTTCTAGCTCATTGGGTTTTTTAAAAGAAGATTTTTTAAGTTTTTACTGTACACATATAGTTAAAAACAATGACACCCCTCGGGCAGGGCCAGTTTTGACCCCTGGGCTTTTATTTGAACAAACTTTGTAGATATTTACTTAAAGATGTTTCATGCTTAATATCTAAACTCTAGTTATTTGGGTTTTTTCAAAGAAGATTTTTAAGTTTTTGCTATGTATAAAAGGAAAATCAATGAACCCCGGGTGGGGCCAGTTTTGACCCCAGGGCTTTTATTTGAACAAACTTGGTAGACACCCATTAGAACATGTCTCATGCTAAATATCTTAGCTCTAGCTCTTTGGGTTCTTTAAAAGAAGATTTTATAAGTTTTTACTATATGCATATAAGGAATATCATTGACCCCCTGGGGCGGGGCCAATTTTGACCCCAGGGCTTTTATTTGAACAAACTTGGTAGACATTCACTAGAAGATGTTTCATGCCAAATATCTAAGCTCTAGCTCTTACGATTCTTTAAAAGAAGATTTTTTAAGTTTTAACTATATGCATATAGGGAAAATCAATGACCCCCGGGGCGGGGCCAATTTTG